CATTTCAGGTTTCTCACGGTGCTCCAGGTGGCCGTGGTTCTCATATGCAGTATTCTGATCAGTTTCCCTATAGTGCACCACCAGCTCCTATCAGTGCACCTCAGCTCTAGATTTTTCTGTGTGGTTATCCAGGCCGTCAGGGTCTGTTTCTGGGTCAGCAATCTCAGCAGTTGAAGACTTGCTATACTTGCGGCGATACGAGGCATATTGCTAGGTTTTGCCCTCGAGCCTCGAGCAGTTCTCAGCACCAGGGTTCTCGTGCTATGGTTCCAGCACTAGGTGTTCCATCGCCCGCTCAACCAGCTAGAGGTAGGGGTAGAGGTGTTAGAAGTGGAGGTCAGGCCCGAGAGGTCGAGGCCAGGCAGCTAGAGGTGGAGGCCAGCCAGCAGGAGGCCGTCCTAGGGATGCAGTTCAGAGTGGTGGGGCCCAACCCCGATGTTATGCTATGCCAAGAAGACCTGAGGCTGAGGCCTCCGATGCAGTTATCACAGGTACGGTTTCAGTGTGTAGTAGAGATGCCTCAGTTCTATTTGATCCAGGGTCCACATATTCTTATGTATCATCTTATTTTGCCCCTTATCTGGTTGTACCTTGTGATTCGTTGAGTGCTCCTATATATGTGTCTACACCGGTGAATGATTCTATTGTGGTAGATCGTGTTTATCGTGCTTGTGTGGTTGTTATTGGGGGTCTTGAGACCCATGTAGATCTCCTACTTCTCGATATGGTGGATTTCGATGTCATTTTGGGGATGGATTGGTTATCCCCTTATCATGCTATATTGGATTGTCATGCCAAGACCGTGACCTTAGCACTACCGGTATTGCCTCGTTTGGAGTGGAGAGGGACTCCTGGTCATTCTACCAACAGGGTTATCTCATATATGAAGGCTCGGCGTATGGTTGATAAGGGGTGTTTGGCCTATTTGGCGTATGTTCGTGATTCCAGTGCTGAGATTCCCTCTATGGATTCTGTGCCCGTTGTTTATGAGTTTCTGGAGGTGTTTCCTTCAGACATACCGGGGATGCCACCCGACAGGGACATTGACTTTTGCATTGATTTGGCTCCGGGCACTCAGCCCATTTCTATTTCGCCATATCGTATGGCCCCGCCAGAGATGAAAGAATTAAAAGAGCAGTTGCAGGACTTGCTGGATAA